GTTCATGACTTTGGCCCAGGGGAAGGAAGAACTGAAAGCTCTCGTCATCAAAGAGAAGAAGAAGACAAAGAAACCGGCTGGCATCTTGAATATGGGAAGAAGACTCAGAGGACCGGTTAAACGAGCTCTAGATCTCATAACTCCATCAAACAAAGGGGATAATCATGAAGAAGTCAACAACCCCGTGGCCGATGAAGAAGAAGTTGATTACTCTGAGGAACAATGCTCTCCTGCTGGCGATAAATATAAATAGATGGAGGATCGTCTCAATGCTATGGAGATTCAATAGGTACCTAGCTTGGACTTTGAAGAGTTAGGGTTGTTCCTGGAGTGGTCATCCCACCAAAGTTTAAGGTTCCCACATTTGTTAAGTATGACGGTGTCTCCTTCCCTAAGTTGCACTTAAGGTCCTATGTCAGGAAGATCCAGCCTCACAATGCTGACCGGAAGTTATGGGTCCATTTCTTCCAAGAAACTTTAGCTGGCACGCAACTGGAGTGGTTCTATCAGCTAGAAAGAACAAACATTCATACTTGGGAAGACTTGGCTTCTGCTTTCTACAAGCAGTATCAATACAATGCTAACCTTGATCTAACTCGTACACAACTTCAAAGCATGTCTATGGGTTCTAGCGAAGGCTTCAAGGAATATGACCAGAAATGGAGGGATCTAGCTGCCAGGGTACAACCTCCTCTAAATGATCGGGAAATGGTAGACATGTTCATGGGCACTCTGATAGGCCTGTTCTTTAATCTGCTGATTGTGAGTTCCCCATCCGGGTTCACAGAGATAGTTCTGACTAGAGAAAGGATCGAAAGTGGTATCAAGAGTGGGAAGATCCTGATGGCTGCATCTTCTAATGCTGAGAAGAAGTCATTTGCTGGTAAGAGGGAAGCCAATGTTGTGTATGGCCAGAAGGGTCGTAATAAGGCAGACTACCACCAATCTATAGGAGCAGTGCTAGTCTCTAATTCGGCACGCGTGCAATGACCACAACAACGGGGTAATCAACAAAGGCAAGACGAGCCTAAGAGACAGTTTACCAAGATCAACATGCCACTATCTCAAGCATTACAACATATATTGAGGATGAATTTGATTACGTCGATAGGACCTCATCTAAACCATAAGGCTTCTTATCCTAACTATAATCCTGATGCAAGGTGTGCCTATCATTCTGGAAGTCTTGGACACAATACTAACGATTGTTGGACACTGAAATACAAGATTCAAAATATGATTGACGCCAAGGAGATTGAGTTCGACCCTCTTGAGACTCCCAACGTGATCACTGATCCCATGCCAAATCATGGACATAATTGAGAGCATATTTTTTCATTTAAATTCTCAAATTGTATTTTCTTTGTTTGTTTAAACAATTATTGTCATGTCAAACTTTTTTAATACTATCAATTATGTAATTTTTAATGAACATGTGTATGTAACATGTCAATGTTTCCTAAAATTCATGTATTTGGAGAACTATAATGCCAAAATTTAGAAACTGGTATATAAATAATACAGTAGGAATCAAATTAAACTGATACGTACCAAAACATTGAGTACATTATAATGATGTCATACCGATAAACTCAACTGATACATACCAAAACATTGAACTGATACAGACATGAAATTCAACTGATACATCCCAATACAGTACATAATCTTAAAACATGAAAAAAATCAATATAGAGAAAATTACAAAACACATCATATTCCAAAACAAACAAAAAATCCACTTCAAGATATTCTTCATCTGACTTTAAAGTTCATTAAACTCTTCCATTAATTCTTCATTGGTCGACCTAACTTTTCCAAATTCCATTCTTGCATCATCCATTTCCTTTTCTAACTTTTCCAACCTAGTCATCATAAATTGCCCCTTCTCATCTTCGACATCCTGATAGAACCATTCAAAATACACTACTAAGAAAAACCCATTTAACAACGGTTAGAAAACCCATATAATCATGCGGGTTCAGGCATTGTTGTGTAGAGTGTTGTTGTAAATGCGCACCTTACAATCATGGTTCTGCGACCATTGTAGTGTATTGGAAAGTTCGCGTGATATCACAATGTTTAGTTAACTTAACCGTTGTTATATGTGTTTTAATAAATAAAAAAGCAGTAGAGCAACAATAGCAGTAAGAACATTAAGAATAACAACAAGAACAACATAAACAACAAGAACAACATGAAAAACAACAAGAACAACAAGAACAATAACAAGAACAAGAAGAACAACAAGAAGAACAATAAAAACAAGAAGAAGAACAAAAACAAGAAGAAGAAGAAGAATAACAACAACATACAACAACAATAATAACAAGAACAACAATAATAAGAACACGAACAACAACAATAATAACTAAAAAAAGAACAATAAGAACAACAATAACTAACGTTGCTAACTTGAATCCATACTTTCCTTGTCTCATTCAAGATCGAGAATAAATGACGGAGTTCTGAAATTTAGAAATTAAAGAAATGTTACTTCCGAGTTTTGCTTATGGAAGAAATGATATTTTCGAGCTTGGTTTAGTGAAAAAATAGAGTGTCGTAAATATCGCTAACAGTGGTATCCTGAGCATTGATATAACTGTAATGGACGGTTGGGATTTATTTAAAGATGGTGAAGGAAGTCAATAAATATGCTACATACAACAACAATTGCATTAAATAACCGTTGTCATACGTATTTAATAAAATATAAAAAATACAGCACTAGAAAAGCAATAACAGCAAGATTCGAACTCGTGACCATGCGCGCTACATACAACAACGGTTGTATTAAATAACCATTATTGTATATCTTTTAATAAAATTAAAAAAATACAGCAGTAGAATAACAACAACTCAAGATTCGAACTCATGACCATGTACCACTTTTTACCACGGTTGGAACTTCCAACTGTGGTGAAAAGTGGCTTAAATATAATAAAAAAATGCGCCTAATTTAATAGATTCTACCACGGTGTATCCTTTGATGTGATGACTTGGGTGTTGTTGTTTGCGCATTTCATAGTAGTGATACTCACATCTAGGCTGCAAAGATCTCTGAAATTTACATAGATTGAAGTTCAAAAAATGGAAGCTCAAACTAAAATTAGAGTGTGGTCGATTTGTACATAAAACATGCATAACTTAAAATATGGGCAACCTCAAAAAAAATTCCTTAAATCTTGGTCGTCGTTTCCCTACGAAGAACATATTTGTCTCCACAATGGAAAAAGGGTTTCAATGGCATCTTTGAGCTCGTGAATACATCAGACTTCAAACTTTCATAGCTTTTTTGTTTCAACGAGAATGAACAACAGTCAGATTTCATGACCCTGAGCCCTAATTTTGGGAAATCGATGAACAATTTTAGAAAAAACTCTAAGCCTTAATTCGATTTTGAGATGCACACCCTGTAGAACTCAGTCAAGTTAACAAAGATGAAGTTCAACTGGAAAATCAGTTGTCACGCATACACTCATAAACTGACTTTTGCATGAAATAGACGGAAAAGACTCTCTGCCACTATTTTATTAGTTAAGGGATCTATTTGAACATTTTAAAAATTAAGGGACCAAAATAGACTCTAAGGTAAAGTTAAGAGAAGAAAAAGGGTAATTTTGTTTTTTTTTTTTAATATTGGAAGTCTTACATTGCTCTCAACTAGTAAGATTACTGAAGGCTCAACAATTTTAGTAGGTTCCGAAAATGCATTTCTGGAACCTACTTGTTCACCACCGATTTTTCTACCATAAAGCACATTTATCTGAGTTGTTTTTATGGTTCAGTAGGTTCCAAAAATGCATTTCCGAAGACTTTTAGAAGATATATTTCTTAAATAAATCTAATCATAGAATTGAGTTGTGGCTAAAAAACAAATGGATTGTTTGTGTATGAATGCGTTTGAAAATGCATTTATGAAATCTAATAATAATTTTAATTTATCACGAGGGTGTGGTAATAATTCATAAGATTTCTTAAACAATCTCCAATATTATAAATAATCGGGTAGAAACTCATGCATTTCTATCTGAGTTTTTTTTTTTAAATGGTAGTATGTATACCAAAATTTATAAAATATTTAGTGATAATCATAATTTTTATATAAATTATATTATAAATTTGATATAATGCAAAAAATAATTCATTAATATCGGATTTGTATTAAATATAAACAATATTCGACATAAACTAAAGAAAAGAAATAATCTTACAAAAGTTTTAAATAATTCAAAAAAGACAATTTAGTTTGACAATTTTTTTTTAAAAATTAAGTGGCAATATGTTCTTACTTCTTTTAATAGAAAGTGTATGGGGGTGTTAGGTAAAATCAAGGGGGTTTGGGAAGTTTTAAAATGCATGGCTTATACATGACACCCCATTTTTGTCAACTTTAAAAAATACCTAATATAAACTAAAGATAAACAACAAAAAAACAGTCTTACAAAAGTTTTTCTTTTAACAGAGTCTTACAAAAGTTTTAAAACTATTTAGTTTGCATTTTTTTCCATTAGGGTAATATGATCTTTTTATTCAATGTGTGTGGTCCTTGAGACGCCGAAGTAAATTCCTCACTTCCACTCCAGCTTAAATTTTGCATATTCTATATATTTTGAAGCCTATATTTAAAGTGTATGAGACCTAACTTTAAAATTAACTTAAAGCTCTAATCCGATTTACCTTGTTATCATAAATAATTTAAATTAAATTATTTCTTTTTTGGAAGAAAATTAATTATATTTTAAACTTCTACACTAAGGTCTTCAAAAATTCCCCTTTTGCAAAAATCAACCATGTTTTGAAAAAGAGAAAGATACATATATTAAAACCGATCTTATTTGAAACAAGTAGTGTTTCAACTTTATGTAATACAAAATTATAGCTTCATCATCCATGGCAAACAAACTAAAGTAAAAATACTAAACTGCATGTCCCTCCAGCATTATTATTGACATGTGTTTGCTGAAGAAGCTAAATAGATATACTACTGAAATCGGAGCTTAAAGAACTGCAATGCAGTCGATTTCAATCTTGGAGTTCAATGGTAATGCAGCTACTTGTAAACTCACGCGGGCTGGGAAAGGTGCAGGGAAATCTGAAATCGCCGGAAGAACAACAGATATATTAAACAGAAATTCAAAGTACTAAAGGCATTGGTGAAAAATAAAGTAATAGATGTGCAGATTGCAGAAAGTAAAGACAGTGGATACTGGATAAGTCATCTTCTCCAAAGAATGTAAATTGTGTCAAGAAAAAACAGTAAAATCGCGATGACAGAAGAACTTACATTTAGCATAAACCCCGTTGACTGTCGTAGCGTCCTTCAAGTCAGCTAACCTGCAGGAAGTGAATGTTCAAAAACTAGTTATCCTGCATTTGTCGCTGAGGTTCGATAAAACTAAACTATAGAAGGGAGAAGAGTTCGTACAGAACTGTTGTTTTAACAACTGATGCGTAGCTTGCACCACCTGCTTTAAGGATTTCCCCCATGTTTTTGAGAATCTGCAACATAAAAAAGTTAACACAATAAGTACATAGTAACATCAATTAATGAAATAAAAAAGATATGCATAAGATTCGAGATCAATGAGCATCATACTCGGTATTGTAAAAACTTCTCAAGTCAAATAGTGAAGATCAAAGTTACAAAACTAAAATAATTAATGAATAATCGTTGATACTGAGACAGACTCACACATTCAACATTATCAACGAGTATAGGAAGCACGAAATTATCAAACAAAAATACAAGTAATCAAAGCTCAAAATGCTCCACCAAGTCATATGAAAGACATCAAATTACAATTACAATGAATTAAGAAAAAAGTCAATTGATTATATCTCATAAAACTAAACGTCGCAATGCAATGACAAATCTATGATTTTGTTGTACCTGTTCTGTTTGTTCATCAACTTTATCAGAGATGAACTTCCCCGTCTGCATTAAAGAACAAAACCAAATTAATTTTGATAAAAAAACATGTTCTGTGTATAACATGGGTTAGTGTCTTACAGCAAGACATTTGATAAAAAAACATGTTTGGTGTATAACATGGGTTAGTGTCTTACAGCAAGACATTTGATAAAAAAACATGTTCGGTGTATAACATGGGTTAGTGTGTTACAGCAAGACACTAGACATGTGACTACATTTAATTATACTCCCTCCCATACTTATAATATCTACCATAATAAAATTATTCAACACCTACTTTTCTCATTTTTTACACTCTACGTCATTTTCTCTATCTTCCACCTAATAATTCAACACTCATTCAACTTTTACTCACTACGATATTTTTGTTTAATAAACTTCAATACCTTATCCCACCACTTTTATTTCATATTTTTATTTTCCTTTTTATGTTTGTGTTTTTTGATTATATATTAATAATAATTATCAATTGAAACTAAATTAAAATAATTAAGAGTTAAATAATTTTTTTAATTTAAAAAATTATTTTAATTTTTTTCTCTAATTTTATATTTTTAATTACAAAAAACTTAAAATACAATACAATACACACAATTTTATATTCGTAATTTTTTCTCTAATTTTTTTCCCTCTAAGTTTATATTCGTAATTGGGTGTTAAAAGAATTATTGTTGGGGTCTATTTCACTAAAAAAAATTATTTAGAGGTAGAAACAATAATTTATTGGAGACTAAATAGAAAAATTAGAGAGAGAAAATAGATTTTTTTTCTTTGTCCAGAACAAAAGAACCAGGACTCTATTTATAGATTAAAAAAATGATGAATTTTGGTGAAAATAAAAATAAATAAAAAATTGATTTTCTATAAAATAATTGACTCTAAATAATTTAGATGACATAAAAATATAAACAATCACAACAATCAATTATATTTTATAAAGTAATATAAATGGTCTCATTCATTTCTCATTCAAAGAATGTTTTCGACACAAATTAATTCATATCACATTCCACACCTTATTTAATAATCCATTGGAGCAATTCAACTATTGAAAAATTTATTCAACACCCAATTGCTCTTATCATAAAAAAAAATTCTACAAAACTGGAACACAGATAGTGCTAGAAAGCGAACCTCGGGAATACGGCCAGAAACACCAGAAACAAAGAGAAGGTTATTGACTTTAATTGCTTGGGAATATGGTCCCAATGCAGGAGGTGCTTTTTTCGTTTCAACAGCTTCCTTAGCTCGTCTTCCTACAATCAATCAAACCCAACAAACACAAAATGATTAACACTATTATAATATATTTTTTTTTGCTTATTTAAAATTGTAACTTTCTAGGATTTAATGGAAGAAACATTGAAGAGGAAAAATGGTGGATACTTACTGGCATCAGAAGAACCGCTCAGGCATGTGAACGACAAAGACCGCTTCGATATGCCGCCGGTAACTGAGACACACTCTCTTCCGGTGCTCAATGAAGGGCGGTTGCGGAGTACGCCGCCGTTGATCGCCGGAATCTGGAAGCTCGTTGCAGTACAAAACGAAGTCATTTCTCAGTTTCCCAGTTTCTCTGTTTGACCATTTTATACAAGTTCATCTGTATTTTAGTTCACAGAAAATGGATCGGTGCAATCTACACCACACAATACAATGACACGTTTTAAATTATAGAATATGGATTAGGCCAAAAAGAAAACCCCAACATGGATTTAAGATTATAAAATATGATCTGTTAAAGTATCAGGCTTCAACACCTTTAAATTACATCAATATAAACAATAATTTAAAAAACATTTTTAAAAATTGAGCAAAAAATATTCAAAATCATATATAATATAACATGTCAAGTTTTATACATGATAATATTGTATACAAAATACAACCTGTTGATATATATAGTATTTAGAATAGTCTAACATCAATTATATCATAGTATTAGTTGTAATTTCTCTATATATAATAAAGTCTTTGTAGTGTTTTTTAAAACACATGGTTTAATTTAAATGTCTCTTAGTCTCTCCTAATTCAATATGATATCTAGAGTCTACTAAGAGACAATTCTTCGTCGTGTTTTATCCGGTTGACCCACTGTCTTCCGGTGACAAATTTTTCATTACAAACCGTGTCATCACTCCGGTTTGCCTCTCACTTTCCAAAATTCTCTGGTAACCACCGAATTGCTGCCGTCATTCGCCGCTACAAATTTCGGCGACCTTCCGGCAAACTAACCCTACCGGCAAAAGCGCCTCCTTCGATCCGATCGATTCCGACAATTTTAACACAACCGCACTCGCCACCGTGCAACTTTTCCAAATCTGATACTCATGGCTACTCCTCAGAACTTTACGACAAACTACGATGATTTCCTCAAGTGGTATCAAAATTATCAGAACTCAGATTCTACTGCTTCGGTTGCACACACTGGTAATTCATTTGTTTGCTTCTCTCAATCATCTTCTCTTGGACCTTGGATCCTTGATTCTGGTGCGTCTAATCATGTTACTGATAATAAAAATCTTTTCTCTTCCCTCTCTACCTCTGGTTTCTTACCTACAATAACTTCTGCCAATGATTCTCAAACCTGATCCGAAGGAATTGGTACTGTTCAAATTCTACCTTCTCTCTCTGTTACTTCTGTTCTCTATGTACCTAATTGTCCATTTAATTTACTTTCAGTCAGTCGTTTAAGTCGTTCTCTTGATTGTATTGTCACATTCACTAATAGTAATGTCACCCTACAGGATCGGAGTTCAGGATGGACAATTGGCGTCGGATGTGAGTCTCAAGGCCTTTATTACCTCTCAGTGTCATCTCAAACATGCTCAGCCAAAGATTCTCCACTCACAATCCATGCTCAGTTAGGTCATCCTAGTCTTCCCAAATTACAGAAGTTGGTGTCAAGTTTATCGAAAGTATCTAATTTATATTGTGAGTCGTGTCAGTTAGGGAAACACACTCGTAGTCAATTTTCCAATCGAGTCAATAAACGAGCTTCACCCCCCTTTTACTTTAGTTTACTCCGATGTTTGGGGTCCCTCACGTACTATCTCTACTCTTGAGTCTAGGTATTTTGTCATCTTTATTGATGATTTTTCACGTTGCACGTGGTTATTTTTAATGAAAAATAGATCAAAATTATTTTCTATTTTTAAAAAATTTTATAAAGAAATAAAAATTTAGTTTGGTGTGTTTATTCGTACCTTAAGAAGTGATAATGCTCGTGAATATTTATCCCAACTGTGATCGGTGGGAAGAGAACTGACTGTTTTTGGAATGCTGGTTTGCGTTTTGCGTTTGTTTTCGCAAAATGTCGCGGTAAGCAAGAGTCGCCACCGTCTTTTATTTTATCCAACAAGGAAAGAAAAAAAAAGCACAGAAAAATTTCTTTTTTCGAGATGTTTCTCGGGTCCGGGAGGTAGATTATAGAAAGGGAAGGTGTTAGCACCCTTTCTATCCGTGGTTATCCACGGGCTCTTAGGTACTTGCTCAAAGTGTTTTCAAAAGTTTGCTTTTCTTTGTGTTTGTGGGTTTGAAAAGAGTTTTTGTTTGAAAGGAGTGTAAGTGCGAAAAGTTTTGTTTTATTTTAAAAGGAGCAAGTACTTAAGAACCATCTACCTACTCGAAAAAGGAATTAATCTGTGCTAATGTCCTTTAGACAATGCTATCCCACTATTGATGAGTAGGTAGCGTCGTCGTTGGAGTTTTAAGGGTCAATTCGATTAAGGGACGTGTGGTCACTAAAGCAATGTTAGGACGCCTTAGCTGTAACCCTAATGTCTTAGATCATTTTTCCGAGGCAACTATGATCTTTGGACAAGAGGGCGACCTCTAAAACTTCCTATACTCAATGACCACGTTCGAAGGCAACCAAGTGAGGTGTACCCTAAGAGTGCGCATGTGCGAGTGTGTTATTTCGGTTAATTTTATCTTTGTACATGTTATGGGTGAGCTATGTTGATTTTAAGTTCATACATTTGATCTTGTCATGCATTCCCTATTATCAAACATTTAACAGTGTATAGTTTGCAGAAAGTAAATTGCGGAAATTAAATCTAAACTATTACAAGGCGTCGGGTATTTACATCGCCAAAAACAAACCCTTTAATTTAAATTGCGGAAAGTAAAATAAAGCGATAAATAATTAAAGTCCTAATTAAAAGCTATTACATACCGGAAGCAATTACAATATTGGTAAAATAGATCGCGTGCGAGAAAATTAAATCGGCGTATTTTTTAGGGTTTTGACCCTTTTTATGAAAGAAAGAGATTTTTTGTTATTTTTTGAATTAAAAGAAATTAAGTCTAAGCTAATAATTAAATTAATTAATTAATGAAAATATTTTTGGATTTTTGAATATTAAAGGAAATAAAATAATTTTGATCAAAGTTAGTAAAAACCTAATATTCTACATTGATTTTAATTTTTTTTACAAAAAAATCATTAAAAGTTATATCTATTTAAAACTAAATTAATTAGGTTAATATTTATTTACAAAAATAAAATGATGAAATTAATTTTAATAAATAAAAATAATATTTTTTTGTGTTTTCTGATTTTTATGAGAAAAAAATAATATTAATTGATTAGTAATAATAAAAATAATTAATTAAAACAATAAAACACATAAATAAATATAATGAAAAGAAAATAAACCAAGGGGGTGTTGGGCCCAAGAGGAGGTAAATCTGGCAATTGTTTGGCCCAATTCAAGCCAGCATGCGTTTGACTTTTCCAATTCCATGCACGCCTTTGACTTGAGACCATGATGGACACTCAACCCTAACCTTTGGATTTGGCCTGAAGGCCATCTGGCACCTGATTGAATGATGGTATATGGTGGACCGTAATTGATGAAATGCGCCTGAATACCTGAAACAAAATAATAACAAGCATTTTGGGGGACCTGGGATTTGAACCCAGGTCCCATGAGACTTTGAACAAGCACACTAACCACCACGCCACTTTGTTGCTTTTGTTATTATATTACACAACAATTATTATATATTAAAACAAGCAATATGCCTGGAAAAAAATAAAAAAATAAAAAGCGCGCTGATTTCAAAACCACCAATCAGGAGAAGACACGTAGTCGTCTTCTTCAACAAAAAGCCTGGTTATTTACCTGCGGATTTCATCCGCAGCTAAATCCATGGCTCGTTCCTAAAACCAACTGTAGGCCATATAAATGCAAACGGAGACCATCACCATGCTCGTCTCTCCTCCCTGAACACAACCATGTCCATGGTTTGCCCTAATTTTTCCTGAAATCAAAACACCTAAAAAAAAGAACCAAAACCCTATTTTCGGGCACAGGGTTACAGGCTATGAAAACAAAATCAAATAATGCGGAAACGTTCTAAATAGACCAATTAACATGATTATGCAAAGATTTTGGCAAAAGGATGCAAGAATAAGAGATCATGATTTCATGTTCAGGGCCACGTTCAAGAAAACTTACAGCGTGATTTAGGAGGTTTCAGGGCTTGGTTTTGATTCCAATAGATCTAGTGGACGTCCAGCAAGAGCATCACGTTGAGTTTTGGCCTTGAATTTGCCTCTAGTATGGATTTCAGTTTTCAACTTTTTCAAGCTTTTTCAAGTTTTGGTTTTGTGAATTCTGCAGCCTCTAGGTCCTGTCCTTGTGTCTTTGCATTGTGTGAGTATAAGGGAAGCAATTAGGTTTAATTTGGACCTTGAATTCATGTGAATTGATGATTGAAAATTTGATTTTATTCTCCATTAACAAAGCTTCCAAAAATGTCAAAAACCAATATTTTGTTCACAACACGGCTTGATTCGAGTTTGATTGTGTATATCATGATAATTAAGACCTGTAATGATAAAAAAGATACCAAGTGATTAAGATTTGGATTTTATTTAGATTTAAAATGATTTAAAATGAATTAAAGCAATAAAAATCAAATAAAATAGAAAAATTAATAATTGGACATAAAACTGAAGATAGGACACGTGTGTGGTTTGAAAAGATCAAATCAAGTGGAAAAAAGCGGGTCCATTTGTCAAAATTTGAAGTTTTGGGGATAGTTGACTTTTGTCAATTTTGGAAAAATGCCCAACTTCAACAATGTATAACTTCTTCAATTTTGAACTTTTGGAAGTGTTCTTGTACTTTTTAGAAACCTTGAGATATCCTATAACAAACCCTTTTTGTCTCATCTCATTTTGATATTCCATGCTCAAGTTATAAGCTTTGGCAAAAAAGGTGTTTTTGTTGACTTTCAAAAATGACCTATAATGTCCAAATTTGTAACTTCTTGTGAGTGCATTTATTTATCTTGGGGTGTGAAGATGTATTGTAGGAAATTGCATCCTCTTCAAAATGATATTTGAATGGGTCATTTCTCATAAAGTATGAGAAAGTTATGCTTGGTCAAAGTTGAGTTGACTTTTCCTATAAAACCCTAATTTAGCAACTTTTGAGTCTTGATGAATTTTGAGCAATCCTTGACGAATCATGATCAACCCTTGATCAAATGATGAATTATCCTTCAAAATGAGAATGTTGACAAAAAATCTTGAGGTTTGACT